TGCTCCGCCCTCCCCCAGCTCTGCCCTCTGCCCCGCCCCCTCTGCTCCGTCCTGCCCCGCCCCCTCTGTTCCCCACTTTCCCCCCCCCTCCTCTCCCCACTCCAGGCCTGGTGCAGCAGGGGTGGCCCTGAGCTAGATTTGCTCCTGTCTTCTGAGAGGGTGGTGCATCACCTGGAGGGAAGGGTCAGGGTGAAGTTTGGCCCTGAAGCTCAGTTGTTGCCCAGAGAGACATGTTCTGGGGTTGGGGACCAGTCGCCCCCTTCCTGGGGGCTGAGACTCCTTCTCCCTCCCACTGCCTGGTCCCCTTTCGCTTTCTCCCGAGCAAGGCCCGGAGGGGATTGGGGCTGGGAGGGGAGGCTGACACCGTAGCCCCTCGCTTTCCCACCTGAAGGTCAGCTGCTCTGCCTTAGCCTGGCGGGCGTATCTCGGGGGTGGGGCCCTCCCTCCAGGTCGGCCACAGGGAGGCGGCGGCCCCCACTCTGCACGCCCCACCGTCCCCCTCACATCTGCCCCACACACAGTGTCGGAGCGGGAGGATGGGGCGCCAGGAGGAGACACCCCTTCTTGAGTCCCCCAATTGGCTTGTGTTTCCAGGGCCGCACTGGCCTCGGCGCACCAGTGCCACCCTCTGCCTCAGACGCTGAGTGTCCTCGAGAGCACGCCGCAGGTGCGAGGCATGCACACCATCATCAGGTGAGAGCCCTTCTGTAGGACGAGGTGGCCCCTGGCGGCCCACCCCTTTGCTTAACGCCACCGGCCCACAGGGACAAGGAGACCAGCCGTGACGAATTCATCTTCTACTCCAAGCGGTTGATGCGGCTGCTCATTGAGCATGCGCTCTCCTTCCTGCCCTTCCAGGTGCGGGGCGGGGCGGGGGGGGGGCGGGGGAGCGGGATGTGGGCGGCCCCCCGTGCTCACGAGCGCCCCCACCCACTCTGCGCGCAGGACTGCGTCGTGCAGACCCCGCAGGGGCAGGACTACGCGGGCAAGTGCTATGCGGGGAAGCAGGTACCGGCGGGGCCGGCCGCAGCCGGGGGGCGAGACTGGGGCAGCTGGGGAGGCGAGGCAGTAGGTCCGGCCAGCTCAACGCCCCCCACCCCCGGGCCCCCAGATCACTGGCGTGTCCATCCTGCGGGCCGGTGAGACGATGGAGCCCGCGCTGAGGGCCGTGTGCAAAGACGTGCGCATAGGCACTATCCTCATCCAGACCAACCAGCTCACTGGGGAGCCCGAGGTGCGGGGCCGGAAGGAGCCTGGAGGGCAGGGGCCAAGGGGCGCAGGGAGCCTGGGGGGCAGGGCGGGGGGGGGCGCCGCGGCGGGGGGGGGCGGCGGTGGTAATCCGGGGCGGGGAGCGTCCGGAGGGCCCGGAGGGCAGCCCTGGCTTTGTGCCGGCTCTGACTCCGGCTCCGACTCCGGCTCCTCGCAGCTCCACTACCTGCGGCTGCCCAAGGACATTAGTGACGACCATGTCATCCTGATGGACTGCACCGTGTCCACGGGCGCTGCAGCCATGATGGCCGTGCGGGTGCTCTTGGTGAGTGGGTTGGAGGGGGCCGCCGGCCGCAGGGCTGGCTTGGAATTCACTGGCCCCTTACCGTGCAGGACCATGACGTGCCGGAGGACAAGATCTTCTTGCTGTCGCTGCTCATGGCGGAGATGGGTGTTCACTCGGTGGCGTATGCTTTCCCGCAAGTGAGGATCCTCACCACAGCTGTGGACAAGCGCGTCAATGACCTCTTTCGCATCATCCCTGGCATCGGTGAGGCCGCGCAGGGCCGGTCAGCGGTGCTCGGGAGGTGGGGGGGGGGGGGGTGGTCTGGCGGCCCGAATCCCCGCCACGAGGGCCTGCTTCCTTCCCCAGGGAACTTCGGTGACCGCTACTTCGGGACCGACGCTGTTCCTGACGGCAGTGACGAGGAAGAGTGGCCTCCACGAGCGAGCCTGAGCGACCCTGAGCGAGCCTGAGCCCTCCTGCCCTCGCCCCCACCCAGCCTCTTCCCGCCTCGCGTGGCCTTGCTTACAGAGATGTCGTAACTTATTTCAGTTTAAAAAAAGACGTTACCGCTGTAACTCCGTACGTTTTATAAAATAAAGTTCAGGGAAATGAAGCCGTGACTGATGGGTGAGGGGCACCTGAGTGCTGCCCTGCCTGGGACCGAGGTGCGGAGCCACCACGGAGAGGAAGAGTCCAGGGGCCTGGCCTTCTCCACAGCACAACAGGCACCCCCGGTCTCGCGCTGGGCTTTCCCGGCGATCCGGGCTCAGTGCCGGATTCAGGAGGGCACAGCTCCTGGCTCTGCTAGAGGGGGCCCTGGGTGGCGGCGGGGACCTGGGGCTCTGGGTCTCAAGAGACAGCCTCCGCAGCCGCCTCCCACCCCCACCGTGTGTTTGTAGTATCGGGGAGCGGGGCGGAAATCAGCGTGTGGGCGGCGGTAGGAGGGAGTGACGAGTGGATCCCAGCCACTGACAAGAGCCCCAAGTTGCAGCAGAGATGGCGGGGCCTCAGCGGCCGGCCGTGCTGTGTGGAACCAGAAACCCACCTCCGGCCCTGCCTTCGTTGCCACCGGGCTCGAGGGTGTGTGGGCTTCTCTCGCTCCCCTCCAGACGGTGGGTCTGTGGCAGGCCGGCCTGGGTGTGGGTGTGTGGGACGCAGATGCTTGGGCTGCTGGGGGTGGGCTGCCGGGCACCCCCAGCCTTCCTCCCCCTCTTTCTTCCAGGGCTGGCTCTTGCCGCTTTCCTGCCTTCCTGATCTCCTTGGTGTCCCCCCCCCCCAAAAGACCATGTCATGGAAAAGCTTGCGGGGGTGTGGACAGGAAGTCACTGGGTGGGGGCCAGGCCAAGGGCAGGCAGATAAAGGCAGGAGGCTGTCCGAGGGGTGGCCAGGCACCAGGGACAGAGCACGGACATGGGCCCCAGAGGTCAGCAGGAGGGGCTTCTGCCCAAGCTGGTGAGTAGACACCCCTCCCCATGTTCTGGGGCCCCCGCTCACCCATTCTAACATCCTTGTGCTGTGCGCTGGGAACCTGGCCTGGCCCTGCTTAGGAGATAACCTGGGGCAGTGAGGCTGGGAACGTGCCATTTGGTCACACTGGGTCTTTCCAGAACAGAAATAGGGCAAACCGTTAATGAGGGTCCAGGCAGAGGCTAGGTTATTCCTCGGAGGGCCCCCCAGAGCCCAGCTAGGGGCTGACCAGCTCCCAGAGAATAACTCAAACCCTCACACGTACACCCACGTATCAACACCGCGCACACACATCAGCACACAGCAAATCCACAGGCACGTGTGCGTGTGCACAACGCAGCTGGAAGGAAAGGGCCCAGTTGCCCCTGCCCAACTCAGCCAGCCGGGGGGGGGAGGACGAGTTCCTCCCGTTTCTTGAGGGTCAGTGGGGGCCTAGGGCAGAATCGGGAGACGGGAAGCCTGAACCAGAGGACCTGCCCCCTCAGGCTGTGGTCCCTTCGTCCAAGGCAACTTGGGGAAGCTAGGCCATGGGCTTGGGGGAGGGTGGGTGGGGGTTCTCGAGCCCATCTCCTGCTGGGTCCTGTTGGGGGCAGGGAGTAGAAGTAGGTCACCTTGCAAACGGCGCTGGGGGAGGGTCTTCAGGCTGCCAGAGAAAGGAGGGGACAATTCCTCTGGGCCTTGGGGCCTCTTAGTCCCAGAGATAGGACCAGAATCCAAGGTCCAAGACTTTCCTGGGAACCACAATCAACACAGCTTCTGGGCACATCTGGGGGGGGGTGCCAGTTGGGGCAGAAGGCGTGGGTGAGGCCCTCCAGGGATGGATGAGCCCATCCCCAGGACACTCTCCGGTGGCCCTCATGCTGCCTTTCCAGGCATCTGGGCTCCTCCGGGCCCAGCAGAAGCTGAGGGGTGGGGGTGGGGGGGGCAGGTGCCTGGGGGAGAAGTTGAGGAGAGCTGGGAAGACGGGGCTACAGCCGGGAGCCCATCCCACGCTGGTCCAGAAGCTCCCGTGACATGGTGGGTGTCCTTCGCCAGCTGCCCCCGGGCGGTGCCTCCAGGACTGTCCAACCTGAGAATGGTGTCTCCGGGGTCAGTCTCAGGTTCGTCAGCCCGTGAGGTGCCACCCCTTTGCCAGCAGCGGCTGCCACAAGGCGAGGAGCGATGCCCCCCGGGGCCTGGCCGGAAGGGAAGCTTGGGGAGCCCCAGACCGGCATTAGGCACATCTGGTGGTCACGCTCAGTCGGGCAAGTCAGCCAGGTTGTCAGCAGTGGACTCTGGGGGCTGCTACGGGCCTGGGGCAAGACTCCACCCCTCACGGGGCCTCAGCTGCGCCCCGCCCCGCCCCCCACCGAACCGCAAGGTGCCCGGATTCCTGGCCGGGCTCGCTCGGGCTCAGCAGCCTGGAGCCGTGGGTTTGCTCTGAGCAGGACGGGAGGGAGCGGCAGATTCAGAGGCGCGAGGGGGCCCGGCGGGGGCTAGCGGGTGGGTTTTTAGCTGGCCTCGGGTCGAAGGGCAAGAAGGGGGTAATTCGCACATGGGGTTCACGAGGACCCACCTCTTTGACCGCCACAGGACGGGGCCGGAGGAGGGGCTGAGCTGGGAGCGGCATCGGCCTCAGCGGCGACACGCCCGGGGTCGGCGCGCCGGTGGGTGGGCCTGGCTCCCGGCGCGGGTCCTCGGGCTCATCTCTCCGGTCACCGACCGGCCTCCAGGGGGCCGAGGATTGGCCCGCCGTCACGTGGCGGGGGTGGGGCTAGCGCTGCCCCCGCCCCCTCCGAGCCTCCCGCGCCCCCCGCTGCGCCCCCGGGCCCCAGCGCCAGCGGAGCCGCCGAGCGAGCGTGGGGAGCCGGCCCGCGCGGCACCGCGCACCCGGACGGAGAGGGGCTGGGGTGGGGGGCCGGTGAGCGGAGTCCGCGGAGAAACGGTAGGAGCGCGGGTCCCTCTGCGGCAGGAGAGAGCCCGGCGTCCGGGGCTGCGAGCGGCCGTGCGCTCGCCGGGTGGGGCCGCGCCGGGGACCCCTCCAGACCCGGACGCCCCGGTTCCCCCCGTGTCCTGCCCGCGGCCCGTGGCCGCTCGAGCTGCTCTCGCGGAGTCGCTGCCGCGGTCTTCCTGAGCGGGGGGGGGGGGGCCCCCCCCCCCCCCCCCCCGCCTGGCCCTCGGCGCCCCGGGTCCCCAGACCCCTGCCCCCGCCGCGGGGGGGCCACGTCCCGCCACTTCCCGGTCGCCCCCTCCCGCTTCCTCCCCGCTTCCAGTGGTGACGGTGACCGGCGCAGTCCACGGGCTTCCGGATGGGTGCCCAGCCATGGCCCGCCGGCCGTGCGTGCACCTGCTCCCGGCAGCCCAGCTTTGGTCAACAGCGAAAAACCGAAAAGCCACGTCCTCAGCTAGCAAGGCCGTGGACCACTTGTGGTTGGTTCTAGGTTGCATGCCATGCAGCAGCTGAAGCAAACCAACCAAACCTATGTGGAGCCACGATGGAGTTCTCAAAAAACCTACACCGAAGGAAAGTGCATGCTGAGTACAGCATGCTACAGTTGAGGCAAAATTTTAGAGGTCGATAAAATCATGAATGAAATGGGCTTTATGGCTGCTGACACCGGTGGGCAGGGTTAGAGCCACAGGCAGAAAGAGACTAAAATTCTGGTGGCCACGGCTGGAAGGGGGATGCGGGGCTGGGGAGGGAGGTACGGGGCTTCACCGTCAGCTTTCCTTTTATGGAAAATCTAAATCAAACGGCTTCATATTTATGTCCAGAAGGAGGGTCTGTTTCAAGGTGTTTTTAAATTACTTTTAGCATTTCTATGCTGCTTAATTTTTTTCCAAGTATTTCTGCCTTGCTCTAAGACCAAGCGAACAGATGACCCAGTACCCTGACCCAAGGTGTGTGTGTGGGGGGGGGGTTCCAGGTGTGGACAGTCACTGAAAGGGTACGGAAGGTGACACTTGTGGCCGGTACCGGCTGGTCACACTCACGGGCCTCCTGGCTCAGGGTGGCCTCTCCCACCTAAAGCCAAGGCCCCTGGGCCACCTGCCCCACTGTGTGGGCCAGACACGAACCTCCCAGGGACACACGTGCCCTGAGGCAGAGACCTCAATCTCCGAGATGAGGAAAGAGAGGCACAGCAGTAGTTGGAGTGGGGCCGGAAACCCCATGCTGTGAGCTGCACACAGTCCAGGGGTGCCTGATGGGGCCCAGGCCACGCACTGTTCTGGTCTGTCTGCCACCAAGGCGGTGTGGTGTGTGTGGGGGGGGTGAAACTCTGAACCCCGTGGAGCCACGACGGCTAGAGGACCAGATGGGGGCGGGGGTGGAGGGTGGCCTTGCCGAGGAGACACCAGGATGCAGTGCCAGGTCACCACTGGCTCAGACATGACCCAGGAGGGAGGCACAGCAGCGTCCAGGCACGAAGACCTGAGTGCACTCCACGTTGATGCCCTGGGTGGGCGGGCACTGGGGTGACCTGGTCGGAACCGGGGGACGGGGGGACACAGTACAGGCCCAGGGGACAGCGGGGGGTGGCCAGCCTGCCCCAGGTGCCCCCACAGTCACCCTTTGCCTACCTTGGGCTACCCGCTGAGGGTTCGGGCCCAGGCCCGGCGTGCTGTTCCGGACTCCTGCAGCCCGCCCCGTCCTGCCAGGCAGTTCTGTGATCTGCCGTCTGCGTGGGGGACAGGGGCGGTTCCAGGCTGAGGTGGTAGGAGTTACCAAGTCAGCCAGGTGGGAATGAGGGGACAGTGGAAGCACGAGCTCTCGGCCAGCAGCTTGCCGGGACATGTCCCAGGAGGGCCGCAGAAGCCACAGTCCAAGCCGCCCTGGGCTTACAGGACCCTCTCTTCACCCTATTTGTGGTATTTAGAAAATGGAGGTGAAAAACAGAACCAAGGAGGGGCTTCTGTCCACACGTGGGCCAGGCAGGTGGGAGTGAGGTCCCTGCCCCCCCCCCCCCCCCGGTGCAAGACGCCCCCAAAAGAGGATGCCGCAGGGATCCTTAAATAAAACGCACGCCTGGTTTGCGGTGAAAACATTTATTTTACAACAGTTATCTTTATTTTAAGGTCAACATTCAGACATACGAAATGGAGATCATCACGGGACCCATCCTAACCCTCCAGCCTGGCCCTCAAGGGTGCACGTGGGAGCCGGGGTCAGGGGCACCTGCCCACCTCTGTGGGTTCCAGCAACAGGACAAAACCGGTGCATGGACGGCTCTTTCCATGCATTTGTATTTAGTATTTAAAAACAATGTATATATACACGTGTCTATTCCAGAGTGAACTGCCTTCCCTCTCTTAGCTTGAAACATTGTCCCATTTCCTAGGGAAACAAAATCTGCGAAAGGTACTGCCTGTGGACCCTGAGCCCAGCCCCTTCCTGGAGGGTGGCCCCGTGTGGCCCCTGCTCCTTCCCAGTGGACCCCTCCCAAAGCAGACCTGTGGGCAGGAGACAGCATCCCCTCTAGAATGCATTTGTCAGGGGCTGTATCCTATGCTTAGAAAACCGGTTTTAATGTTTCGAGGGAGGGAAGATTTCCAGCCACCTGGAGGTCCCAAAGGGTCACTCGCTGGAGTGTCAGGTGAGCACGAAGGGTGGGCCCCCAGAGATGGGGGTGGCACTGGGGGACGGTCCACCACGGTAGCCCCGGCACCCTACCTGGCCGTTCACACAAACCCTAGGGACACGAGTGGGTCGGTGTTCACTTCTGCGCACCCGGCGAAGGAGCCTACCTGCCTCCAAGACCCTGCTCTTGACCCAACTCACCAGGAAACCCAAGGCCGTTTTGGGGCCAGCTTTTATTGTACTTGTTGCCGCTGGACAGCAGCAGTCACGCCTGCCGCGGGATATATACATATTCACATATGTACACACACACACGCGCGCACACCCACTGCCCACACCTACAGCACAGACAACGTCAACCGTGCTCGTAAGGACAGTAAAAACGTAGCTTTCGTCAATTCCACAGGAGGGTTCACAACCAAAGTAACAAAAACAAACAGGGCGGTCCTGTGTCACACGGGCTCACAGATCAGCGTGTTGAGAAAGGAATGAGGTCGCTCCTCCCACACCCTCACGTCCGTCCCTCTGGTGGGATCTGCTGAGAGCCGGGGGAGGCCGAGCAGGGCCCCCCCCCCCCCCCCGTGGGAGCCCGTGGGCAGGCGCCTACCCCACCTGCTGGTGGTGTCACCCCAGCGTCTCCCAGACGGTCAGCAGGCACTCCTCCAGCAGGAGCTCACCCGACGGCCCCCCTGCCGTCAGAACTCGCGGGAACAGGCCTTTCCTGGAGCAGGAGCCTCGTGGCCACACCTGGTGGTCAAGGGTGTGGAAACGCCACCTGCTCTAACCTCAGCACACTATGGCTTCTTCTCCAGTGGGTCCCCATGGGTGCCAAACCGCGCTGACTGACCAGGGAACTAGGAAAGCTCACACGCCGAGCGGTCATATCTAAAGCAGTTTGAAAACAGAACAAAGCCAAAGGAAGACAAGAGAAAGGAAAGAAGACCACATCACGGGGCAGGAACAGAACGCAAACACCAGCAACCACCATCAGACGCCCTGCGAGTCTCCTGCGTGTTTCCTGCCATCCTGAAGCGGTCGCTGCTGCCAGGCCCCTGAGGGCATCTGGGCAAGCCCTGCGCTTTGCGGAACAGGACGGGCTCCAGCCCACACTGGCCCGGCGCTCTCTGGCCACACGTGGCCTTGGCTCGAGGGGGGTGGGTGTGTGGGGGAGGGAAGCAGGGGAGGTAAGTGGAGGGGGGAAGCGGGCGGTGGGTGGGAAGGCACAGGGGTTGTAGGGAGGGAAGAGAGGGAGGGGGAGGGGGAGGGGAGAGGGGGACGGGGGGGGGCACGGGAAAGGAAGCGGGGGTGGGGTGGGGGTGTCCTAGAGCCAGGAGCTCTCACAGCTGCGCAGCAGGCAGACAGTCGCCCCCATGTGGCCAGTGAACAGGGTGCCCCTCCAGACTCAGCAAGTGCACAGCAGGGAAACACAGAACACTCCAGAAAAAGGGAACACGCCCAAGGGCTGACAGTGAGCACAGCCGGGGGGCTCTCATTCAGAATCACCAAGTCAGGGCCAGGCGGGGAGAACCCCAGGCCCCTGGGCAATCGTCACCGTCCTCACTGCCACGATTCACTTCGACTACACACATTCTTCAAAGGACTGGTCGGACAAACTTCCTGCCCGGCCCCTCTTGCAACACCCACCCACCCCGGCCCCCAGGACAGTGTCCCGTCCTGTGGCTGGAGGACACTTGGCGAGGGGCTCCCCAGACGCATGCAGTGGCCCCGGGGTTTTTTGAGCACAGAGGTGCATGGTCCCCTGCAGGTCCCAGCAGCAGACGGGGAGGCTTTCTACCTTAAGTCCAGGCTTTGAAGTTAGTTCTTGGCCATTCTGGGGGAAAAACAGCTCCCAAAGGTATTTCCAGAACGTCACAAAGGCTGACCACAGCCTGCCTCTCAGGCTCCATCTTGCTGCCGTGTTGGGACTGGCAGAGAACAGCTCTGTGGTCTTACCTCCTCCCTGGTCCTAGAGCCGGCAATGAATTTCTTAGCCTTTCACGAGGTCAGATTTTAGCGAATTATTTCTAATTTAAAATCACAGTGCATACTTTCTCTCTCGTTGGACGTCTTCACAATCATTTTAATGGACAAAAAACAACAAAATGGGATCAAACACCTGCCCAGGGGCCTGGTACTGGCTCCGCCCTCACACGGCTGCTCTCCGAGCGCGTCCGCATTCTGTCCTCACACCGCTATCCCTCCAGCCACTTCCTGGCCAACAACAAGAACCTGCTCTCCTCAAGGCCCTGGGTGGCAGACAAGCGAGGGCTCCGCGGGCGGGCGGGAGGGGGTAGAGGCCGCAGGCGTCAGGAGCACGACCTGGTACGTCTGAGGCGGCGTCGTCCTTGTCCTTCATCTGCAAATCCAGGACGCATTCTGCAGCAGCCAAGCCCACATGGGCCCCGTGGGTCTCCACCGGCCAGCGCAGGCCCAGCCGGGAGCCACAGCACATCTGGTGCCGCTGGGGGTGTGGGGCAACTCTCAACTCTGGGCCGGCACGGGCACATCATAACCCACGTCTCCTCAGTCCCCGCGGCAGGGGCGTCACCCACGAGTTCTGGGGCACAGACAAGACTGACTTCCAGCTCCACGAAAGGTGCTGCTCAACACAGCGGTGAGAGGAGGATCCCACAGTCCGGCTGCTGGCTCACCAGCCAAGGGCACCAGGTGCACCTTCGGTCCAGGTGCTGCCTCCTCTGGGAACCTGATGTCTCTAGCGCCGCCTGAACCATCAACGGCGGCCGAAGGGAACGGGCGAAGGAAGGAGGGTAGGAGCTCTGGGAAGCGCAGAGAAGAGGGCTGTGCTCACCACTGCGCTTCCCAGAGCCGCTCGGCCCTGCTCCGCCAGCGACCTGGGCCTGGACGGTCAGCCCCTCTGACGACAAACTGGCTCGCCACCACCACCTGTGGTCCTTCCAGGTCCAGAAAGGCCCACCAGGAGGCCCGGGCGGGCCTGAAGGAATGTGGAGGGTGACCCGAGGGGAGGGCAGGTGGCTGGAATGTGGCCAGGGCACAACAGTGGGAGTGCAGAAGAACCACGTCCCGCAGCCTGGCCAGGGCCCGCGTGCCACGGAGACCCGGGCCGCATCCGGGCAGAAAACGCGATCTTGGGGTCGGCAGAGCCCGCGACACGTTCCACGACAAACTCACCCGAAGGAAAACCCAGCCACGAGGCCAAGCCACCGAGGCAGACGGCCCTGCACAAACCCACAGCACGAAAAGGCCACCAGCGCTGGGCGGAGGGAGGACGTGCCCAGCTCCTCCCAGGCAACGAACGCGTCCAGAGGCTCTGGCTGTGACCACACGGCTGGCGAGCACAGGACAGGGACTGGACCTCACAGCTGCCGCCGGCCAGAACCCGCCTCTGGCCGCCACCAACACAGGGGAAGGAGCCACCCTTCCGGCCCCAGCCTGCCCGGCTGGGAGACCCTACGCAGCAGCCACGGCCGGTGCGGCCACTCGTGAGCCCCGAGACTGCTTCGGCGTCTGGTTCACGCGGCCACACCGCGGCACGCCCACAACACAGACACACACGGAACGTGGCCCCAGACATGCTATTAAAAAAGGAGAGAACAGAAGAGGACCGTAGCTACACTGCTTTAAATACTGCATGCGACGCACTTCACGTGTTGGGGGGTGACGGGCGGGCGGGCACAGAGGTGGGAAGGGCCCCGGCGGGCTGGCGGCTGCTCCTCCTCCGTGGCCAGGGCAGCCCCCTCCCCATCTCTGCGGCTACAGTTCATGATTCTAAGGGTGAAGTGGCCGGGTGCTGGGCTATCCTCTATCACAGCGGCTCCGGAACTTAGTTGAACCCGTCGGTGTGGTAGCTGGGGTGGGAGTCGGCCGTGAGCTGGGTGGTCTCTGTGGCGGACGCTGGCTGTATGACAATCGGCGTGTCTGCGGCCTCTGAAAAGCAAGCACGTGCGTGTTCATCGTGTGAGGGCGGAGCCTCGCCACCGGGCCTCCCGAGCGCACGTGTGACCCCCAACGACACCGTCCTCGTGACAAAGCTCCGTCGCCTGGCCGCTCCACCAGGGTCACAGGTCGGAGGGGAGAGGCTACCTGCGCACCTCCACCCAGCGCAAACTTCCTCCGTCGCCTCAGGTCACCGCCAGCCCTCGGTCCCTCCCCACCTGCTGGGTCCCGTGGAACTTCGGCCGCTTCAGATCGCGGGTGGGGACAGCCCTCTGCGTCTGCTTTTACCTCAAGTGTCCATGTTCACACCTCAACAGTCCCAGCGACCACCACAAACACTGCGGCACCGTGTCAGTGCCCTCCTGTTTGACAAGACAGGTCGACACGGCTCAGGGCCCGGCCCGGCCCGGCCCGCCCCGCTCAGCGGCCCTCGGCGGGCACTCACCCCGCTCGTCCGACTGCAGCTGTGCCTCCAGGTCCTCGGGGGACACGTAGAAGCCGGCGTCCTCGCCCGCGGGCGCCCTGGGCTTGCACCTCCCGCAGCAGCAGTTGAAGCAGCAGCAGAGGCAGCAGCAGCAGTAGCAGCAGGTGAGGAGGCCGCACACGACAAACAGCGCCTGCGCGGGTGGACGACAGGGGCGCTGGCCACGCGGCCTCCGGGACCCCCGCCCCGCGGCCAGCCCGAGGCCGCTCCGGGGGCGTGTCGGGCCCAGACGCCCTTCGCAGCCCTTCGCGGCCCGAGGAGCGGGGACACCGAGAGACGGAGCTCTGTAAGCTTCTGGAAAGGGAGCCTACAGGGAGGGGCTATGGGGCGGACTGGCCAGCGCCACGGCGCCTGGTGGCCAGGGCCGTCACACCCTCGGGCCTTCACGGGACACGGCTTGTGAGTCAAGTGAGGAAAAGGACAAGTGTTCAAAACAGAACCACCGGACAAAATGTCAAAAGTTTCTCAAGTCAGATTTCAAACACGTCCTCCCCCACGACGACAAAAACATCCGTCCAAAACGCGCTGGAAAAGCTCCCTTGCGAGGCCTGTCTCTGTAGGAACTTACTCATCAGAGGACGTCCGCTCGGTGTCGGGCTCGCTCTGTGCGCTCTCGGCCCGTTGCACACAGGCAAGCGAGCCGGCCGCATCCGCACGGGACGGGGAGAAAGGCTGCCCCACACCCGGGAACCGGGGCCCCTGAGCAGAGCCCCTGGACCGAACGGTCTGTGTGCGCCCGGACCCCCCGCCCCCCGCCCATTCCGCTCACCTTGGCCCACCAGCTGGAGAGCACAAAGTAGGTGTTCACGTTCTCCTCTCCAAACTGCTCGGCCACGTAGAGTCCCAGCGACCCGTACTTGTCGTAGATGTTTCTTTTTGTGGCGTCCGTCAGGATGGCGTGGGCGTTGTTGATCTCCTTGAACTTGTCTGCCGCCTCCGGGTTATCGGGGTTCTTGTCAGGGTGGTATTTCAAGGCAAGTTTTCTGCAAATCAAAACCATTTCTTTGTCCCTTATTTCACACACACCCATCACAGGGCCCCGTGGAGGACACATTCATGCATCACCGCGGCACTTTCCACCTCTCCAGAGTTCCAGACTGTCAGATCCAGAGAAATCTCTGCAAACTGCCCGGCCCTGACCCTGACCCGGCCCCAGAGAAGAGGGTCCTGGGGTGAGGCTAACCCTGGGGGAGTGGCCGCAGGCACAGCCTGCGAGGGGGGTGGGGGAGGGAGGGCTCTTCCAACAGCTCCAAGGCAAACCCACTGCCGACCTCTAGTGTCCCAGCAGGCTAACTGCTCAGCTGCCCCACGAAGTGACTGCAAGCGAGGCGAGCACAACATGGGCCTGCTTTCCGTGCTCACGAATCACACACGTGAGGAACACAAGAGACAACTAGCTGAGGGTGCGGACTCGTGGGGGGTTTGCCTCCTCTGGCCTACTCCGTGCAGCTGCGCGTAAGTTCCACTGGGAGGGGACTACTGTCACTGCGCGGAGAAGAGCAAATCATTGAGCATTCTAAAGCCCCGGCTACGGAGCAGGCTCAGACCTGCTTCCCTCTGGACCTGGCTGCTCCAGGGCAGACCGTCTGTATCACCCACAAAGTGTTATTTTGTCGTTGCCGAGAAAATATCAGTTGAGAGCTGTAGGCTACAAGGTGTGGTGGAACCATCGCCAGCTTGAAACGGGGTCAGCTCAGCCAGGGACAAACACTGGTTTCGGTAAATGCAAGTCAAACCCCACGAGGTACGAGGTCCTCCCCGCGTGTGGCCTCTCACCGATAGGACTTTTTAATGTCATCTGAGGTTGCATTCTTGTCCAGCCCCAGAACATGGTAGAGTGATTCCCCAGAGGTAGAGAGTGAGCGCTGTCTCTGGTCTGCCATGGTAGGCTAATCTATAAGAAAAATGCGAAGAAAACATCAAGAAGTATAGAGATTCCAAGCACAGCGCTGACACACTTTATTCCAGATGACTGTTCTAAGCAAAACATCATAACACTGCTAGTGGGGGCCAGGAGGTCCACAGACACAACACATCCAACTATGACATAAAGGGGTGTGGGGAGTGGGGCCAGAGGCAAAGTTAAAGTTGGTGACTGTGCCTGTGAATGCGAGAACACGGCCACACCACAGAGACTGTGCAGAATTACATGTGTTTATTGTAATCTCCAGAGCAACCTCTAAATAAAGAAATGCAAAGTATAGGTATAAAGGCTAAAAGAAAAAGGGAAATGGGGCAGCTGGGTGGCTCAGTTAAGCGTCCGACTTCGGCTCACGTCATGATCTCGCATTTTGTGGTTCGAGACCCGCGATGGGCTCTGTGCTGACAGCTCGGAGCCGCTCTGGAGCCTGCTTCGGATTCTGTGTCTCCTCCTCTCTCTGCCCCTCCCCTGCTCATGCTCTGTCTCTCTCTCTCTCTCAATAATAAATAAACATTAAAAAAAAAAAAAAAAGAAAAAGGGAAATGAACTCTTTAGACTAAGAACTCCAATAAAAAGAAGAGACTGTCTCGAGGCGCCTGGGTGGCTCAGTCGCTTAAATGTCCAACTTTGGCTCAGGTCATGATCTCATGGTTCACGGGTTCAAGCCCCATGAGCTGTCCCCACAGAGCCTGGAGTCTGCTTCGGATTCTGTCTCCCTTTCTGTCCCTCCCCTACTCACACTCTGTCTGTCTCTCTCAGAAATGAATACACATTTAAAAAAATTAAAAAAAAAAAAAAAAAAAAAAAAGATTGTCTCAATCCCTATCAAAATAACACCAGCATTCTTCACAAACCTAGAACAAACAATCCTAAAATTTGTATGGAACCAGAAAAGTCTCCGAACAGCCAAAGCAATCCTGAAAAAGAAAACCAAAGCTGGAGGCATCACAATCCCCGACTTGAAGATGTGTTACAAAGCTGTAATCAACAACACGGTATGGTAGTGGCATAAAAACAGACATTCAGATCAATGGAACAGAATAGAGAACCCAGAAATGGACCCACAAACGTATGGTCAACTGATCTTTGACAAAGCAGGAAAGAATATCCCATGGAATAAAGACAGTCTCTTCAGCAACTGGTGCTGGGAAAACTGGACAGCGACATGCAGAAGAATGAACCTGGACCACTTTCTTACACGAGACACAAAAATAAACTCAAAGTGGATGAAGGACCTAAATGTAAGACAGGAAGCCATCAAAACCCTAGAGGAGAAAAGAGGCAAAAACCTCTTTGACCTTGGCCGCAGCAACTTCTTACTCAACACGTCTCTGGAGGCAAGAGAAACAAAAGCAAAAATGAACCACTGGGACCTCATCAAGATAAAAAGCTTCTGCACAGCGAAGGAAACAATCAGCAAAACTAAATGGCAACCGACAGAATGGGAGAAGATTTTTGCAAACGACATATCAGATAAAGGGTTAGTATCCAAAATCTATAAAGAACGTATCAAACTCAACACCCAAAACACAAATAATCCAGTGAAGAAATGGGCAAAAGACATGAATAGACACTTCTCCAAAGAAGACATCCAGATGGCCGACACATGAAAAAATGCTCAACATCACTCATCATCCAGGAAATACAAATCAAAACCACACTGAGATACCCCCTCACACTGGTCAGAATGGTTAACATTAACAACTCAGACAACAACAGATGTTGGTGAGGATGTAGATAAAGAGGAACCCTCTTGCACTGCTGGTGGGAATGCAAACTGATGCAGCCATTCTGGAAAACAGTGTGTAGGTTCCTCAAAAAATTAAAAACAGAACTACCCTACGACCCAGCAACTGCACTACTAGATATTTATCTAAGGGATACAGCTATGCTGTTTTGAAGGGGCACAAGCACCCCAATGTTTATAGCAGCACTATCGACAATAGCCAAAGTATGGAAATAGCCTAAATGTCCATTGACTGATGAATGGATAAAGAAAATGTGGTATATACATACAGTGGGATATTATTCAGAGATCAAAAAGAATGAAATCTTGCCGTTTGCAACAACGTGGATGGAACTAGAGTATATTATGCTAATAAGCAAAATTAGAGAAGACAAATATCATATGACTTCACTCAAGTAGAATTTGGAATTTAAGAAACACAACAGATGAACACAAGGGAAGGAAAAATAATATAAAAACAGGGAGGGAGAAAAACCGTAAGAGACTCTTAACTATGGAGAATAAACTTAGGGTTGCTGGAGGGGGTTGTGAGGGGGGATGGGCTAAATGGGCAAGGGGCATTAGGGAGGACACTTGCTGGGATGAGCACTGGGTGTTATATGTAAGTGATGAATCACTAAATTCTACTCCTGAAATCACTATTACACCATATGCTACTAACTTGGAAGTAAATTTAAAAATTAAAAAAAAAAAAAAAAAGGGGAGAGATTGTCAGAATGGATAAAACACAATGGACTCTTGGGTGGCTCAGTCAGTTAAGCATCTGACTTCACCTCAGGTCATGATCTCATAGTTCACGAGACTGAGCCCCACGTCAGGCTCTGTGCTAACAGTGTGGAGTCTGCTTGGGATTCTCTCTCCCTCTCCCCAACTTGCATGCACATGTCTTCTCTCTCAAAATAAATAAATGTTAAAAACAACAGAGTGTCAAAAATACATCAAACAAGTACTGACAGAATTAAAAGGAGAAAGAGACAACCCACTGCTATAAAACTCTCAGCACCCCTCTCTCAGACACAGACAGAACAAACAACAACAAAGTATAAATAGATGACCTGAAGAACACTACCGACCACCATCTCCTAAATGACACTTATGTGACCCTCAACATCTATAAACACACAGAAAAGAAAAAAAAAATCACCAATATACCACATGCTGGGCTCTAAAACAAATTTCAATAAATTTAAATCATGCAAAGTGTGCTCCCCGAGCTTAGCAGAATTAAGTTAGAAACTCAACACTAAGACCTCTGAGAAAACCTCAAGTATTTAACATCACCCAACACACTTCTAAACTAACATGCAGCTCAAAGAAATCATAATAATAGAACATATTTTGAACTAAATAATAAAATGTAACATGTGAGCCAAAACCTAAGATTCAGGCTTATAACGCTGGAAGCAAGCAGAGCAGACCCAAGGGAAATGGAAGGAAGGAAATATTAAAGAGCAGAAACCAACAAAATAAAAAACAGATAAGTGATAGAAAAATTTAGCAAAGACGAAAGTTGGCTCTTTGAAAACAATAAAATTAACAAACAACTGGCCAGACAAAAAAAAGAACAGAAATCAGTAACATGAGGAAGGAAAAAAAGAGGGGTCATCACTACGGACCCTACAGGCACAAAAAAGATGATAAGATTATAGACAACTTTATGCCAATAACTAGATGAAATGGACAAGTACCTTGAAAAATACAATTTACTAAAATTAACACAGGATGAAACAGGAAAATCTGAGTAGTCCTAAAAACATTAACAAAATTGAATCGGTAATAGAAAACCTTCCCACAAACAAAATTCCAGGCCCTGATGAGTTTTCTAACAAATATTCAAGGAAGAAATGACATTAATCTTAGATAAACTTTTTCAAAAACAGAGGAAGAAGGATCTGCTCTTTACGTGTCTTAACCAGCATGACCTCACAAAGACATTACCAAAAAATCCCTCATAAACACAGATGCAAAAATCCTTAACAGAGTATGAGCAAATAAAATCTAATCAAGTAGAAATTATCCCAAGAATGCAAGCCTGATTTAACTTTTCAAAGAAACCAATGTAATCCACTACATTATAGAATAAATGAGACAAACCACATGATCATCTCAAGAGATTCAATCAAAGCATATGGCAAAGTTCAATACCAATTTATGATTTTAAAAATTCTCAGGAGATATTGGGAATAGAAGGAAACTTCCTCAGTCTGATAAAGGACATCTGACCAAAAGCCTACAGCTGATATGCTTAGGAGTGAAATACTGAATGGTTTCCCCTTAAGACCAGAATGTGACAAGGACGCCTGCTCTCACCAATTCTATTCAACATTGTCATAGGACCCTGAACACTGCAACAGGAAAAAAAGAAAAAAGAAAAAGACCTAAAACTGTCCCTATTCACAGATGACTTGGTTGTTTGTATAGAAAATCCTAAGGAATCCACAAAAAACAAACAAAAACAAACAGAAAACCAACCAACCAACCAACAACTGAAAAGTGAAGTCAGCAAGATCACAGGATACTAATATGATATTTAAAACAACCATACTTTTGGGGCGCCTGGGTGGCTCAGTCGGTTAAGCGGCCGACTTCAGCTCAGGTCACGATCTCGCGGTCCGTAGTTCGAGCCCCGCGTCCGGCTCTGGGCTGATGGCTCAGAGCCTGGAGCCTGCTTCCGATTCTGTATCTCCCTCTCTCTCTGCCCCTCCCCCGTTCATGCTCTCTGTCTCAAAAATAAATAAAACGTTAAAAAAAAATTTTTTTTTAAATAAAACAACCATACTTTTGAGAGCAGTAAGCAATTGGAAAATATTATTACGTTCAAGTTTCATTTACAACAGCATCCAAAACGCTAAATTTTTTTAGGAGTCAGATTTAACAGAAGACATACAGGACCCTTATGTTGAAAATCACACATTGCCTAGAGAAACCAAAGATTTAAAAAAATACAGATTTATAATGTTCATGCATCAGAAGAGTCAATACTGTTAAGATGCCAATCCTCTCCAAATTGATCTACAGATACAATACAATCTTAACTCTAATCCTAGCAGGCTCATTTGATAGAAATTGAGAAACCTATTTAAAAATTTGTATGGAAAAGCAAAGGGCATAACACTGACATACAGATGGTCAATAGCACATGAAAAGATGTTCGTCGCTGTCATTCAGAAATGCAAAATAAAATGAGATACTACTACATTTCTATTAGAACAGCTTGCATTAAAAAGATGAGCCGTATTGGGGCACCTGGGTGGCTCAGTCGGTTAGCGTCTTACTTCATCTCAGGTCCATGATCTTACAAGTTAGTTCGTGAGTTCGAGCCCCAGTCCCTCTGCTGTCAGTGCAGACCCCGCTTGGGATCTTCTGTCCCCACCCCCTCTCTGCCTCTCCTCCACCTGTACACTCTCTCTCTCTCTCTCTCTCAAAAATAAACAAACATTTAAGGGGCTCCTGGGTGGCTCAGTCAGTTAAGCGTCTGACTTCGGCTCAGGTCATGATTTCACGGTTCGTGAGTTTGAACCCCGGGTCAGGCTCTGTGCTGACAGCTCAGAGCCTGGAGCCTGCTTCGGATTCTGTGTCTCCCTCTCTTTCTGCTCCTCCCCCACTCATGCTCTGTCTCTCTCCTTCAAAAATAAAAACAAATTTTTTAAATAAATAAATAAATAAATAAATAAGCATTAAAAAAAAAAAAAAAGATGAGCCGTATCAAGTAAGTTGGCAAGGATGTGAAGTAACATGAACTCTGCTGAAGACGTAAAACGCCACAACCCCTTCAGAAAACAGCTTGGTAGTGCCTTAAGAAGCCAAACACACACTTATCATACGACCCAGCCACTCCACTGCTGGGTACGGTCTTACACATGCAAAATGAAAACGCAGGTCTACACAAAGACTTACACACCAATGGTCACAGCAGCTTTATTCCTGACAGCCAACATTTGGAAACAACCCAATGTCCATCGACAGGTGAATGGATCAACAGAAAGGGGTCTGTCCGTAGAGTGGACTACTGCTCAGCACGAAGGGAATGAGCCACAACCACCCTTAAAGCATGTTGCTGAGTGAAAGGGGTGAGACCTAACAGACGACGTAGGAGTCCCTCATATGAAACCCTGGTAAATGCAAAGTGCGCGAGGTTGCGTGAACACAGAGGCAGAGCGAGAGGTCGATTACAAGGACTCCAGGAAACACTGGAAAATTACCTGGCACACACTTGCCACAGGACCCAGCAGGTCTGCTCCTGGCTGATTTATGCAAAAGAAAAGGAAACACTGTTCACATAAAAACCTACACACAACATTCAGAGCAGTTTTACTCCTAACAGCCCCAAACCAGAATTAGTCCAGATGTCCTTCAACTGAATGCTTAAAAAACTAGGGTGTGAATACACCATGTAATAAATACTACTTGGCAAACGAAAACAAAGTAACTGCTGTGAGCAGCTGGATGAGCCTCCGGGAATGCCACTGAACACACAAAGCCGATCCCAAAAGGCTACACAGTGTATGACTGTACTTACAGAACATTTTTGAAATGATACGACGTCAGAAATGGAAGGCAGATGGGTGGGTGCCAAGGGGTCAAGGATGGGAGGTGAGTGTGAGTACGAAGGCCAACGCGGGGATGGCCAGTGGCACTGAGACCTCCACTATTTTGAGTCTAGTGGCGCAAACACAAACCTATGCAGGCGAAACCACGGAACAGAGGTCACCATGCACACAAATGAGTAAAAGTAAAGATGGGGAAATCTGAGTAGGGTCGGTAGATCGTATCAACATCAGTATCCTGGTAATGATCTAAAACTACAGCTTGGAGGGGCACCTGGGTGGCTCAGTTGGTTGAGTGTCCTTCGACTCAGGTCATGATCTTACAGTCTGTGGGTCTGAGCCCCATGTCGGAATCTGTGCTGACAGCTCAGAGCCTGGAGCCTGTTTCGGATTCTGTGTCTCCTCCTCTCTCTGTCCCTCCCCCATTTTCTCTCACAAAAGCAAAGAAAACATTTAAAAATTAAAACAAAACAAAACACTCATATTTTGGCAAAATATCACCACTGGTAAAAACCAGGCAAAGTGTTGGGGCGCCTGAGCGGCTCCGTCGGTCAAGTGTCCAACCGGCTCAGGTCATGATCTCGCGGTTCGTGGGTTCGAGTCCTGAGTCGGGCTGTGTGCTGACAGCTCAGAGCCTGGAGGCTGCTTCGGGTTCTGTGTCTTCCTCTCTCTCTGCCCCTCCCCCACTTGCGCTCTGTCTCTGTCTCTCAAAAATAAACGTTTAAAAAAATTAAAGAAAATATCTAACATTTAAAAAAAAAGGGGGGGAGCTTTCCAATCTCCCTACTCTGCCTCCGTGATAGGAGGAGTAAGATGGGTCTAGGCAGCTCCCAGTGCCATTAAACACCTGCAACCCTGGCCTGAGATCAACCATCTGAAAAATAAAGGATGGACATAATTTTTAAACTCAATACTGATTTAATAATCTGTATGTGTGGGGCACTGGGTGGCTCAGTCAAAACTCTGACTCTTGGTTTCAGCTCAGGTCACGATCTCATGGTTTCGTGAGTTCGAGCCCCACATCGGGCTCTGCACTGACAATGTGGAGCCTGCTTGGGATTCTCTCTCTCCCTCTCTCTGCCCCTCCCCACTTGTGATGTCTCTAAAAATAAGTAAACTTAAAATAAATAAATAAATAAATGTTCTCTCTCAAAAATAAACACACATTTAAAAAAATAATAAAGAATACATCAATGTAAGAGTCTGGGAAAAGTACTGCTCCTGCCTTCTACATGGAACTGTCTGGGGAGGACACACTTGAACAGAATGAGGAACCTGGGACAGGAGAGTGGTGTCATCTGGGCCTGTGGCAGGAGAAGTGACAGCAGGAGACACAAGAGCAGCTCCCACACCCCCCACCCTCCTGTGGGCACCTAATTACCACACCTAATGCAAAGGTTAACGCTCACAACAGACAGGAGGATGGTGCAGGGGTGGACGGCCCCAATGTGCCAGGTTCCTCGACTCCCTCCAGTGGCCGCCTTGAGCACCCACCGGGCTGGGTTCCTGGAGCGTGGCAGCCCCCAGGGGTCAGGCTTCCCCTCCCCTCACCAGGCAGGCTCTGTGGCAGTGGTATCACAGATGTGGAGACAGAAGTACAGACAGGTGAAGTCAGGATCTGAACCCAAACCAAGGGCACCACGCCCTGGCCTATGGACACCAGTTAAACCACCTCGCCCCTAGGCCCAAGGGATGATGTGTGCTGCTAAGGGCGGAAAATAAAACAAGTCTCACTGCCAAGAGAGAGGTCATGGGTTCTGGAATCAGGATGTGAGGGTTCTAAGCCCAGCTCTGAAAGTTTCTAGCTGTGTGACCTCAGGCAAATCACTGCAGTTCTCTCACCTGTAGACCTCACCAGACTAGGTTAGCAAGGAGCCGAGAGATCCGCCAGGAGCAGGGGTCTTTATTGATGCTGATGGAGCAGCATACTCTCAGCATCCAAGTCCGAGCCAGTACTGTCTTGCCTCGTTAGGCCACGTCAGAAGTACCACAGCACTGTCAAATCCAACTACTGCCCGGTAAGTAACTTCTTTGGTTTTTATTCTCAGGTACCCAACGCCTATTAAGTAGTTGGCCTCTAAACCCCATTAAGTAACAGTTTCTGTCTACTCTCTAAAAATAGCTCTGGGCATACCTCTTTCACACTGTACTTTTCTTTTAAACACATTGAAGGTTTTTGGCAACCTTGTGTCAAGCAAGTCTCCTTTCCAACAGCATCAGCTCATTTTGTTTCTGTGTCACATTTTGATAACTCATGCAATATTTCAAACCTTTTATTGTTACTGTATTTGTTGCAGTGACCTCTGATCAGTGATTCTGACTCAAATGCTCAGATGATGGTTAGCATTTTTTAGCAATAAGGTATTTTAAAATTGAGGCTTGTAATTTTTTTTTTTTTTTTTTTTTTTACACATAACGCTACTGCACACTCCCCAGCCAATGGTTTAACGTAAATGGAACGTTTATACGCACTGGGAAACCAAAACATTCATTTGACCGGGCTCTATTGTGATACTTGCTTTACTGAGGTTTATCTGGAACCAAGCCCTCCACAGGAGATAGGCTCGTATGCCTACAACATCTAGAAGCAGTCAGCTACTTAATCTGATGGAAGAGTTTCACCCTGTGAAACTTTCACATTTTAAATTATGATTTAAAACTCAGTATTATTTGGGGCGCCTGGGTGGCGCAGTCGGTTAAGCGTCCGACTTCAGCCAGGTCACGATCTCGCGGTCCGTGAGTTCGAGCCCCACGTCAGGCTCTGGGCGGATGGCTCAGGGCCTGGAGCCTGTTTCCGATTCTGTGTCTCCCTCTCTCTCTGCCCCTCCCCCATTCATGCTATGTCTCTCTCTGTCCCAAAAATAAATAAACGTTGAAAAAAAATATTAAAAAAAAATAAAAAAAATAAAAAAAAATAAATAAAACTCAGTATTATTTAAAACTCAGTATGTATGCCAGATATCACTAATATTACTGCACTGAATGTCAAAATTTCCTAGTCTCAGACAGAACCGTCTTAAGAAAGATCAATAAAATAATCTAAAATTAATTTTCCTAATTTCAGTGGGTTGCCAGTAACTACATCCAAACTCCCCCCCCACCCCCATGAAGGCACGTGCATACATGAGCAAGCGGGGGAAGGGCAGAGAGAATCCCAAGCAGGCTCTGCTCTGTCAACACTGGACTCAATCCCACCGCTTGTGACATCACGACCTGAGCTGAAATCAAGAGTCAGACACTCAACTGACTGAGCCACCCACGTGCCCCTAAAAACTAAGTTATTAAGCATCCTGAGTCATTTGTGACTGGCAGCTTTCTCCCTCATAATTGGAGTAGCACAAATCTGTAATATACGGCATCAGAATGTTAGCGGGACAACTATCTGAACACTCCTGACCCAATAATGTTATGATCAGGCAAGCTCTCCACAGACAGAGGCACAGACTAATGTTCACATGGACATGAGAACTTCTGGAACAAGAAGCTTCTAGAAAAAATGATCTGTTGAAAACCCAGCCGGTGAAAACACAAACCAAAAGGCAGCAGTCAAAAATGGAAACCAGGGGTAACGGGTCTGTGGGCAGGTGTTGAACCCACGGAAATCCTAGAACAAGACTAAAGAGCACTGGGAGCTGTGCGAACAAATCTGATGGATACAAACATCGCAAACCTACAAGGACACAGGCGACACGTGGGGGGAGGGGCGTGCAGACAAGGGTGGGGTTTGCCTGCACCGAGGGATGCTAATTTCATCAGCACCACCTTGATTTTTCTATGTCAAATTCAAGGAAAAGTGCAACAATGCTTTTATGTAAAAGACATGCAAACATCTTTAGAAGGTTAAGTAACTGATTGTTTTGGGGAAAACTAAGAACCAGAGGTTAACGGACATTTTCTTGAATGTGTAACATTCACCCGTATCTTTTTTTTTTTTTTAACATTTATTTATGTATTTTTTTTTTTACATTTTTACTTTATTTATTTTTGATAGAGAGAGAGAGAGAGAGAGAGAGCACAAGCAGGGGACGGGCAGAGAGAAAAGGAGACACAGAATCCGAAGCAGGCTCCAGGCTCTGGGCTGTCAGCACAGAGCCTGACGCGGGGCCCGAACTCACAAACTGTGAGATCATGACCTGAGCCGAAGTCAGATGCTCAACCGACTGAGCTACCCAGGCGCCCCTTCTTTACGTGTTTTAGGAGAGCAAGCACAAGTGGGGGAGGGGCAGAGAGAGAATCCCAAGCAGGCTCCACACTGTCAACGCAGAGCCCAATGCGGGGCTCAATCCCACAAACTGTGGGATCATGACCTGAGCCAAAATCGAGTTGGGTGGACACTCAACCAACTGAGCTGCCCAGGTGCCCAACATTCATCCACTTCTATACCATGGCTTGATTTTTTTAAATCATTATGCTCTTCTGTATTGTTTGAACTTTTTTTTTTTTTTTTTTTAATTTTTTTTTTTCTCCACGTTTTTATTTATTTTTGGGACAGAGAGAGACAGAGCACGAACGGGGGAGGGGCAGAGAGAGAGGGAGACACAGAATCGGAAACAGGCTCCAGGCTCTGAGCCATCAGCCCAGAGCCCGACGCGGGGCTCGAACTCCCGGACCGCGAGATCGTGACCTGGCTGAAGTCGGACGCTCAACCGACTGCGCCACCGAGGCGCCCCTTGTTTGAACTTTTAATACCGTTATAAA